AGGAGGAGGGGAGTAAAGAGAGGAAGGGAGAGGTGAAAGGAGAGATAATAGGGGAGAAGAGAAGAGGGGAGGAGACGACCTACACAATAATAATGGAGACATCAACCATTAGACGCTAAACAGGTGGAAGAGAACACATACAATAACATTCTAAATATAGTTAAATTAGTAGTATAAACTCCAGCTGTTACCAGGAGCTTAACATTCACCTTTTACCAAGATTTTAACTTAATACTAACAATAATAATTTCATTACAACCTTATAACAATACTTTTATCTGCTGCTTATGTCAGTAACGTGTCAGTTTTGGAGTTGTCTTCCACAACACTTGTTCTATTGTGCCACACGACCTGTCATTAGCAGGTGTGTGGTACAAGCATGTGGCTAGCCAGCAGGTGTGTATGGGACGGGCGCATGTGTGCCCCAGCAGGTGTGTGGCATTATATATATTATTGTGTGTGTGTGTGGCTAGATAGCAGGTGTGTATGGGACGGGCACATGTGTGCCCCAGCAGGTGTGTGTGTGTGTGTGGGACGGGCACATGTGTGCCCCAGCAGGTGTGTGTGTGTGGGACGGGCACATGTGTGGCCCAGCAGGTGTGTGTGTGTGGGACGGGCACATGTGTGGCCCAGCAGGTGTCTGTGTGTGGGACGGGCACATGTGTGGCCCAACAGGTGTCTGTGTGTGGGACGGGCACATGTGTGGCCCAGCAGGTGTGTGTGTGTGTGTGTGGGACGGGCACATGTGTGGCCCAGCAGGTGTGTGTCTGTGTGGGACGGGCACATGTGTGGCCCAGCAGGTGTGTGTGTGTGTGGGACGGGCACATGTGTGCCCCAGCAGGTGTGTGTGTGTGTGGGACGGGCACATGTGTGGCCCAGCAGGTGTGTGTGTGTGTGTGGGACGGGCACATGTGTGCCCCAGCAGGTGTGTGTGTGTGTGGGACGGGCACATGTATGCCCCAGCAGGTGTGTGTGTGTGTGGGACGGGCACATGTGTGCCCCAGCAGGTGTGTGTGTATGTGGGAGACGTAGGCGTAAGTAGTGTGTGTGTGAGGGAGGGGAGGTGGGGGGGGGTGGCGGATAAAGTATTCCCCTGATAATGGGTCTAAGGAATTGTTGGAGTAGCATCATAAACCAAGACCAGTCTTGGCCCTTCCCCCTCCCCATCTTCCCCCTCATTTCCCTCCCCCACCATAACTACCCCCATTTCTCCCCAGCCAGGTAACAACTAGGCGACTCCAAAACACAAAAATAAAAACATTGACTGGCAACTGGCAGTAACACTAATTCACAAAGTGTAATTCTTAAGAGTTTGTGTTGCGGCATTGTCGGGCAGCTGCGACCAACGACAATTTGGCCAATAAAAACCCACTTTAACTCGATTATCAGCCGCATGAATCAACTGAGGCAAGGCTCGCATATGGACTTCCAGCCCTACTGTAAACTAAATTAAATTACTAATATGCATCCGGGCCCTTTAACAGCGTGTTCCTTAATGCGGCTGAAGTTGTCGCTCAGCGGCGGAGCTACTCACAGAGTGTGTGGTAAGCTACAGGACGAAGGGTTATGGAATCAAGTGGAAGATTAAGGCAAGAGATGATCATGTTCAGATGTTTTGTTATCGGTACTTAGAGGGATTTCCCAGAGACATTAGTGCTTTATCGTAATACATCGTTGGGAAGGGTTTACACTAGTTGTGTATTAACAGTTCAGACGCCGGATTTGAGCCGGTGGTCGCACGCCCTGTACACCGTACTACCTCCCGCCGCACGGTACTCACCGTAGTGGGCCGCGGGCACCTACGGCGTAGCACAGTTACAGGTGGTAACATAGTGCTATAATATGAGGTGAACGAACCGCAGAGCGCGGTGTCCCACAGAGCATCATCTGTTTTCTAATGTAAAGTAACGGTGAGCGATGTAAATGAATTAAGTGGTGAGACCGCTGGTGGGAGCGTCCCCGCGGCTCCCCTGGGACCCCTCAGAGACTCCCTCAATTATACTTGACGGACCTGGCAGGGGCGCCGGGGGGGGGGGGGGAAGGGACCACGAAGGAACAGATAGATAAAGATATTGAGGGGAAGAGTTTGAGGCAGGGACAGAGAGACAGAGTGGAGATTTACAGCCAGAGAAAGTGTGTGATAGAGTCGGTCGGCCGAGCGGACAGCTCACTGGACTTGTGATCCTGTGGTCCTGGGTTCGATCCCAGGCGCCGGCGAGAAACAATGGGCAGAGTTTCTTTCACCCTATGCCCCCTGTTACCTAGCAGTAAAATAGGTACCTGGGTGTTAGTCAGCTGTCACGGGCTGCTTCCTGGAGGTGGACGCCTGGTCGAGGACCGGGCCGCGGGGACACTAAAAAGCCCCGAAATCATCTCAAGATAGAGATTGAGGGAGAGAGAGAAAGAAGGGTAAAGGAAGCCATGATGTATGGGTAAGGAAGGGAAGGGAACTATCAGGGGAGGAAAGCGCCAAGCCATTACGACTATATAGCACTGGGAAGAGGTCAGGATAAGGATTTTGGGATGGGACGGAGGAGGGAAGGAATGGTGCCCAACCACTTGTGGACGGTCGGGAATTGAACGCCGACCTGCATGAAGCGAGAGCGTCGCTCTACCGTCCAGCCCAAGTGGCTGAACAGTAAAGATGTATTAGTGTAGAAGAGAAGGAGATACCGATAATATAACAAGCCTGAGAGCACAAGATAATAGAGAAAGGAGGAGGAGGAGGAGGGCTTGACAAGAGAAATGGGAAGAGAGTTATCTTGAGAGGTTATCTTGAGATGATTTCGGGGCTTTAGTGTCCCTGCGGCCCGGTCCTCGACCAGGCCTCCACCCCCAGGAAGCAGCCCGTGACAGCTAACTAACACCCAGGTACCTATTTTACTGCTAGGTAACAGGGGGCATAGGGTGAAAGAAACTCTGCCCATTGTTTCTCGCCGGCGCCTGGGATCGAACCTAGGACCACAGGATCACAAGTCCAGCGTGCTGTCCGCTCGGCCGACCGGCTCCCTAAGGAGTGGAGGAGGGTGTAGAAGAGAGAAGGAGGTAACTATATAATAAGAAGCAATAAACACATAAGTGCAAGAAAATTTGATAAAGATGATAAAGAAAATTTGATAAAGATGATAAAGACAAAAGTACAATGGAGTTTAAGGTTTCATAATGTCCCTAAAGTTTTCTGACGCCGCTCCCAAAGTTCTTTTTCCTTGACCCAACAGTTGTGTGCTGAAGTTCCTCTCGTCCGCCGCTGATTTTAGCGTGCATTCTCGCGATTTTTAGCGTGCATTGTTCGGATTTTTTTAGCGTGCATTGTTCGGACTTTTAGCGTGCATTGTTCGGTTTTTTAGCGTGCATTGTTCGGATTTTTAGCGTGTATTGTGATTTTTTTTAGCATGCATTGTGATTTTTAGCGTGTATTGTGATTTTTAGCGTGCATTGTGATTTTTAGTGTGTATTGTGATTTTTAGCGTGCATTGTTCGGATTTTTAGCGTGCATTGTGATTTTTTAGCGTGCATTGTGATTTTTTAGCGTGCATTGTGATTTTTTAGCGTGCATTGTGATTTTTAGCGTGCATTGTGATTTTTTAGCGTGCATTGTGATTTTTTAGCATGCATTGTGATTTTTTAGCGTGCATTGTGATTTTTTAGCGTGCATTGTGATTTTTTAGCGTGCATTGTGATTTTTTAGCGTGCATTGTGATTTTTTAGCATGCATTGTGATTTTTAGCATGCATTGTGATTTTTAGCGTGCATTGTGATTTTTTAGCGTGCATTGTGATTTTTTAGCATGCATTGTGATTTTTTAGCGTGCATTGTCGGGATTTTTAGCGTGCATTGTTGTGATTTTTTAGCGTGCATTGTGATTTTTTAGCGTGCATTGTCGGGATTTTTAGCGTGCATTGTTGTGATTTTTTAGCGTGCATTGTGATTTTTAGCGTGCATTGTGATTTTTTAGCGTGCATTGTCGGGATTTTTAGCGTGCATTGTTGTGATTTTTTAGCGTGCATTGTTGTGATGTTTTAGCGTGCATTGTTGTGATTTTTAGCGTGCATTGTTCGTGATTGTGATTTTTTAGCGTGCATTGTCGGGATTTTTAGCGTGCATTGTTGTGATTTTTTAGCGTGCATTGTGATTTTTAGCGTGCATTGTGATTTTTTAGCGTGCATTGTCGGGATTTTTAGCGTGCATTGTTGTGATTTTTTAGCGTGCATTGTTGTGATGTTTTAGCGTGCATTGTTGTGATGTTTTAGCGTGCATTGTTCGGATTTTTTAGCGTGCATTGTGATTTTTTTAGCATGCATTGTGATTTTTTTTAGCGTGCATTGTGATTTTTTAGCGTGCATTGTCGGGATTTTTAGCGTGCATTGTTGTGATGTTTTAGCGTGCATTGTTGTGATGTTTTAGCGTGCATTGTTGTGATGTTTTAGCGTGCATTGTTCGGATTTTTTAGCGTGCATTGTTCGGATTTTTTTAGCGTGCATTGTCGGGATTTTTAGCGTGCATTGTTGTGATGTTTTAGCGTGCATTGTTGTGATGTTTTAGCGTGCATTGTCGGGATTTTTAGCGTGCATTGTTGTGATGTTTTAGCGTGCATTGTTGTGATGTTTTAGCGTGCATTGTTCGGATTTTTTAGCGTGCATTGTTCGGATTTTTTTAGCGTGCATTGTCGGGATTTTTAGCGTGCATTGTTGTGATGTTTTAGCGTGCATTGTTGTGATGTTTTAGCGTGCATTGTCGGGATTTTTAGCGTGCATTGTTGTGATGTTTTAGCGTGCATTGTTCGGATTTTTTAGCGTGCATTGTTCGGATTTTTTTAGCGTGCATTGTCGGGATTTTTAGCGTGCATTGTCGGGATTTTTAGCGTGCATTGTCGGGATTTTTATCTTCAATGCGCTAAATCCTTTTATTATTTTATTATTTACAGTGATTAAACACGCGAGTGTATCACAAACTTTTAATAACAGACAATTTTGTTATCGTTTTGAGCTGAGGTTAGTTAGGCTCGACCAGAACAACTGTTGTATGTTAACAACTTGGCCGTCAACACGGGGAATGTTAACAACTTGGCTGTCAACACGGGCAATGTTAACAACTTGGCTGTCAACACGGGCAATGTTAACAACTTGGCTGTCAACACGGGCAATGTTAACAACTTGGCTGTCAACACGGGCAATGTTAACAACTTGGCTGTCAACACGGGCAATGTTAACAACTTGGCTGTCAACACGGGCAATGTTAACAACTTGGCTGTCAACACGGGCAATGTTAACAACTTGGCTGTCAACACGGGCAATGTTAACAACTTGGCTGTCAACACGGGCAATGTTAACAACTTGGCTGTCAACACGGGCAATGTTAACAACTTGGCTGTCAACACGGGCAATGTTAACAACTTGGCTGTCAACACGGGCAATGTTAACAACTTGGCTGTCAACACGGGCAATGTTAACAACTCGGCCGTCAACACGGGGAATGGCCTCAAATACTGACAGATCGCTCGCTGTGTAGTTATTTTGTGGTGCATATTGTAACGTGGTTATCTTGAGGTTATCTTGAGGTTATCTTGAGGTTATCTTGAGATGATTTCGGGGCTTTTTAGTGTCCCCGCGGCCCGGTCCTCGACCAGGCCTCCACCCCCAGGAAGCAGCCCGTGACAGCTGACTAACACCCAGGTACCTATTTTACTGCTAGGTAACAGGGGCATAGGGTGAAAGAAACTCTGCCCATTGTTTCTCGCCGGCGCCTGGGATCTAACCCAGGACCACAGGATCACAAGTCCAGCGTGCTGTCCGCTCGGCCGACCGGCTCCCCCTACAGACGAGGAGTCACAATAACGTGGCTGAGAAATGTTGACCAGACCACACACTAGAAATTGAAGAGACGACGACGTTTCGGTCCGTCCTGGACCATTATCCAGTCGATTGTGATAAGACGAGAGAGGACCTGAGCCTGTGATAAGACGAGAGAGGACCTGAGTCTGTGATAAGACGAGAGGACCTGAGTCTGTGATAAGACGAGAGAGGACTGAGCCTGAGATAAGACGAGAGAGGACCTGAGCCTGTGATAAGACGAGAGAGGACCTGAGCCTGTGATAAGACGAGAGAGGACCTGAGCCTGTGATAAGACGAGAGAGGACCTGAGCCTGTGATAAGACGAGAGAGGATCTGAGCCTCGCAGACGGTGTAGTGGTGATGATCCGTGCAGATGGTGCACCTGGTGACGCCTTCCGTGCATGTGCCACCAGGGGGCTGGTCCAGTGTGCTGCCACAGCCGACACGGCCGCTCCCGTGCCCCCCACCACCACACTCCCCCCCCCCACCCCCCCGTGGGCCAGGAATTCTACGGATTAAACAACTGTAATGAAAACATAATGGTAGACTCCCAGGGGCCACAACCTGTAGACCGAGAGAGAGATTTGAGCAGAAAATTAAAAAAACCGAGTTTGAGATGAGTTAAACAGTTGGTAGGGAGGGGCGAGGTGATGGGGGGGGGGGCTGATAGTGAAGGGGGGGGGGAAGGTGATGGTGAGGGGGGGGGGCGATGGTGATGGGGGGTGATGGTGATGGAGGGAAGGTGATGGTGAGAACTTATAATCAAGTTCCTTCCCAAGTGCAGAAGAACTTGTGTGTCTATAAACAAGATGTCCGGTGTCTGGCCTCCTCCCCTAACTTTGCAAGTGACACATGAGGGGTATGGGAGTGTCATAGGCCACTCGAGGTCGACTACACTACCACGTTATAAACACTATGAACACCTACAGCGACCACCTGCCATTTTCACCGTCAGAAAATATGGGATTTGTCTTCCGTTGAAATTTTGTCAGTTTTCCTGTGCTTCATAATTTTACATTTTTTTGAGCGAGAGGAGGAGGGGGGGGGGTGTTGAAGGGGAGGGAAGGGGAGAGTGGGAGGCAGGTGGCGAGGATAGGGGAAGGATGTAGGGGAGGAGAGAGGGTGAAGAGGGGACATGGGGGAGAGGGAGGAAGATAGGTAAGAGAGGAGGACAGGTCCTGATACAGCCGGGTACTCCATCTAGTATAAGAAATATAGAAAAGATTCCTGTTAGTATCATTGGTCTATCTCTTTGTCAAATTCAATAACTAGTAAAGACATATATATATATATATATATATATATATATATATATATATATATATATTGGTGTATACTGGCAGCAGGTTTTCTTTCAAACATGTTTCATTGAATATGACCGCATATTCTGTATTTATTATTTTCTGGTTTAGGGCTTCTATCCCTCTAACTATTTTCTTAGCATCAGGGCTTAGTTGAAATAGGAGTTCTCCAAAACTCATTTTCGTACTTTTAAGGTGAAGAAAAGACAGGTCTTCAGGTCCGACAGGTCTTTTCTTCACCTTAAAAGTACGAAAATGAGTTTTGGAGAACTCCTATTTCAACTAAGCCCTGATGCTAAGAAAATAGTTAGAGGGATAGAAGCCCTAAACCAGAAAATAATAAATACAGAATATGCGGTCATATTCAATGAAACATATATATATATATATATATATATATATATATATATATATATATATATATATATATATATATATATATATATATATATAATGTTACTATTCATTAGAACATTAATGTATATTTAATGTATATATGGTAGAGTGGAGCATTTATGCAAACAAGGTACGGATGAATACTTATGTTGAAGTGCAAATTAATCCAATTAACAAACTTTAAAAAGTTTTGAGAGGAAAGTGGGAAGCGGAGGTGTGTGTGGGTGCCCACCTTGCTGTGCTCACTACGTCACTTCTTACTCCATTCCTTCATAATTGTAATATAAAAAAGTGCAATAACTCTGTGGCTTATTACCTCGTTTCCACCTGTGTTGCCTGGATCGTGCACCGCTCCTGCCACATTGTGTATCCTTGTATATTTTGTATGTAGTGATCATGTCTCTTCTGGCTACCATTGACGTGAGGGTTTAATTCATTTAGAGTTTATTTGTCTCGTAACTCATACCTCTCATCTCTGGGACTTGTCTAGTCCCAGAGATGAGACAGCTGCCCCAGACACTGTCATCCACCCCTACAGCTGCCCCAGACACTGTCATCCACCCCTACAGCTGCCCCAGACACTGTCATCCACCCCTACAGCTGCCCCAGACACTGTCATCCTCCCCACAGCTGCCCCAGACACTGTCATCCTCCCCACAGCTGCCCCAGACACTGTCATCCTCCACTACAGCTGCCCCAGACACTGTCATCCTCCTCACAGCTGCCCCAGACACTGTCATCCACCACAACAGCTGCCCCAGACACTGTCATCCTCCTCACAGCTGCCCCAGACACTGTCATCCTCCTCACAGCTGTCCCAGACACTGTCATCCTCCTCACAGCTGCCCCAGACACTGTCATCCTCCACTACAGCTGCCCCAGACACTGTCATCCACCACACAGCTGCCCCAGACACTGTCATCCTCCACTACAGCTGCCCCAGACACTGTCATCCTCCTCACAGCTGCCCCAGACACTGTCATCCTCCACTACAGCTGCCCCAGACACTGTCATCCACCACACAGCTGCCCCAGACACTGTCATCCACCACACAGCTGCCCCAGACACTGTCATCCACCACACAGCTGCCCCAGACACTGTCATCCTCCACTACAGCTGCCCCAGACACTGTCATCCACCACACAGCTGCCCCAGACACTGTCATCCACCACACAGCTGCCCCAGACACTGTCATCCTCCACTACAGCTGCCCCAGACACTGTCATCCACCACACAGCTGCCCCAGACACTGTCATCCACTTGAGACAGTTAAGCAAGTCCCAGCTGTGTCTGGGTACAAGTGACAGGATGAACAACCCAGCGGGTTTTCTTCCTATTGGGGAGTGTTGTACATGCTGCTATGGCGGTGTGTCCACTCACAGGATGAGTGGCGCTGCCCAATACTGTCACTATGGCGGTGTGTCCACTCACAAGATGAGTGGCGCTGCCCAATACTGTCACTATGGCGGTGTGTCCACTCACAGGATGAGTGGCGCTGCCCAATACTGTCACTATGGCGGTGTGTCCACTCACAGGATGAGTGGCGCTGCCCAATACTGTCACTATGGCGGTGTGTCCACTCACAGGATGAGTGGCGCTGCCCAATACTGTCACTATGGCGGTGTGTCCACTCACAGGATGAGTGGCGCTGCCCAATACTGTCACTATGGCGGTGTGTCCACTCACAGGATGAGTGGCGCTGCCCAATACTGTCACTATGGCGGTGTGTCCACTCACAGGATGAGTGGCGCTGCCCAATACTGTCACTATGGCGGTGTGTCCACTCACAAGATGAGTGACGCTGCCCAATACTGTCACTATGGCGGTGTGTCCACTCACAAGATGAGTGGCGCTGCCCAATACTGTCACTATGGCGGTGTGTCCACTCACAAGATGAGTGACGCTGCCCAATACTGTCACTATGGCGGTGTGTCCACTCACAGGATGAGTGGCGCTGCCCAATACTGTCACTATGGCGGTGTGTCCACTCACAAGATGAGTGACGCTGCCCAATACTGTCACTATGGCGGTGTGTCCACTCACAAGATGAGTGGCGCTGCCCAATACTGTCACTATGGCGGTGTGTCCACTCACAAGATGAGTGACGCTGCCCAATACTGTCACTATGGCGGTGTGTCCACTCACAAGATGAGTGACGCTGCCCAATACTGTCACTATGGCGGTGTGTCCACTCACAAGATGAGTGGCGCTGCCCAATACTGTCACTATGGCGGTGTGTCCACTCACAAGATGAGTGGCGCTGCCCAATACTGTCACTATGGCGGTGTGTCCACTCACAAGATGAGTGGCGCTGCCCAATACTGTCACTATGGCGGTGTGTCCACTCACAGGATGAGTGACGCTGCCCAATACTGTCACTATGGCGGTGTGTCCACTCACAAGATGAGTGACGCTGCCCAATACTGTCACTATGGCGGTGTGTCCACTCACAGGATGAGTGGCGCTGCCCAATACTGTCACTATGGCGGTGTGTCCACTCACAAGATGAGTGGCGCTGCCCAATACTGTCACTATGGCGGTGTGTCCACTCACAAGATGAGTGGCGCTGCCCAATACTGTCACTATGGCGGTGTGTCCACTCACAAGATGAGTGGCGCTGCCCAATACTGTCACTATGGCGGTGTGTCCACTCACAGGATGAGTGGCGCTGCCCAATACTGTCACTATGGCGGTGTGTCCACTCACAGGATGAGTGGCGCTGCCCAATACTGTCACTATGGCGGTGTGTCCACTCACAGGATGAGTGGCGCTGCCCAATACTGTCACTATGGCGGTGTGTCCACTCACAAGATGAGTGACGCTGCCCAATACTGTCACTATGGCGGTGTGTCCACTCACAGGATGAGTGGCGCTGCCCAATACTGTCACTATGGCGGTGTGTCTACTCACAGGATGAGTGACGCTGCCCAATACTGTCACTATGGCGGTGTGTTCACTCAC